GAAGTCAGTATGGCACATTAAACCATTTGAACACTTACAGGAGTCTTTTATCTGTTGCAAACCGAAATTGTTTCAGATTTGGTAAAAAAACATATTATAAATTGCATTAAATCTTATTCAATGTCACAGGAACTTTTGTTGTTCAGTATATTTAAAATGAGTTAATATTCCATAATTGTGTGGCTTTATGCTGGTTTGCTTTGGTAGGCTTGAGGAAACATAATTAAAATATTTGGTTTGCGACAGTATAATAGCTATAATGTTTTTTCAAGGATTGCCAATGGCGAGTGAATGAGTGAGTTGGGTTTAACGTCGCTTTTGACGGTATGCCAGTTATATCGCGGCGTGTCAGCCTAATTTGGGAGGAAAGCCCGAAGTCTTAGACGTTTACCACTTCGGTGAAACCCACGAACACGGGTATGGTGCTGACAAACCTAGAAACATAACCGGGACGAACCGGGATTCGAACCCACAATCATAGGTTTCTGGCGTGCCTAAGGGACGCAACTCTGCACAGCGAATCGCGGCGCCTTAGACGACTGGGCCGCCCGTGCCCCCTTCCAATGGGACGTCTTATGGCACACGTATTATTGTTAAACAGGGAACACTTCACTGATATATTGCATTAAAAACTAATTTACAAACTGTTGCAGTATTGCATGGACTTTGCATATTGGAATAACTGTGTGTTCCTTGTATATACCTCCGTTATCCATTTCATATCACTGATCAGGTCAATCTGGTTCTCCAGCTGTTTTTTTTTAAGGGTGACTTAAATGTTCACAATTCCCTACGGAGGTTAATCTTATATCATTTAAATGCTTAGTAAACATTCTTTGCCTTCTTAATGATTGAAGTTGTCACTTCCTCGGTGGATAGTTCGATTACCAAATTGCAATTTATCAGGGCTGATTGTGTTGTGATAATTGAAATCTGCTTATTTCATAAATGATCATAACCAAAATTAAAATTAAATTATTTTCGAAAACATTGCCACTGCGAGAATCCCAAAGACCTAGGAAAGTCCAGGTGTCAGTGCACCACGGTATAATAATGACTGTAAAAACTACTAGAATAAGTACGAAAAAGGCTGAAATATGTTTCACTAAACATACATCCCAGGACAACTTAAAACAGCACGGACATGTTGAGCAAAGCCTCTCACAATGTGAACACATGCACGTAGCAGCTGGAGACATTTTGCTTGACCAATTGACCACACGAACTCCACAATGTATGGAATATGATAAGAGAAGGATTCACTACAAGTGTCCAAGTGTTCAACACTAATAAATTAAGATAAGACAGATAAGATAATACTTTATTACCCGAATTTGGAATTTGTTTCACAATTAAGAAATGCGCATAGATAGATGTAACATACGAACATACTAAACATGAAATGTAACAATACATGAATACGTATACAGCGACGATAGCACTGTACATTAAAAAGGTATTTTGAGCAATAAAATACTGAAAAGCTACCTAGGGATAAAAGTGGGTGACTCCCTTAATACAGTAGCCATATTTAACAGAAACATGATTAAATTATTTATATTTAACATGTTCACAAGGTGTAATTAAAAATAGAAACAAGATCTTAAAAAAACTAATACTTGCGATGTTAAAAAGACAAATACTGGGGGAATTTGGCACCCGGAATCTTCGAACACAAGGGACAAATGTGAAGTAATGATTCAGATCATGCATCGAATCATGTACAATTTTGCTGGCATGTTTCAAAATACGGTCTCCAAAAAGAATATCGAGAGATACAAAAGCAGTTCCGGGTGTTAACAATTTTGTTCCAATTTTGCGTTGTTTTGTACTGAAAGGGCACTACACCAGCATTGAATGAAAACATCGATTTACACAGATGTCATATAATAACGCCATTAACGTGGTAACAACCTGATAAAATCTTGGTTTCCTAAAAGTACATTCTCTGCAGGATCTTTTTGTAAATAAACAAGATTCCTTATAGAACCTTAGTCCATCTTGTTGCCATGGAAACATGTTCAGTATGTGCCTGGTAGACATGCAAAGTTTTGTAAGAAAGTATTTAACGTTTTATGAGTTAAGCTCTGGAAATGAACACCACCCTTATAGAACATAAGTCCAACTTGTTGCCATGGAAACGTAAAAAATAAAAATGTCTAAAATTGCAAAATAGCAAAAGGCACAACTTCACCACTTGAGTGATATAAATGCAAAGTTTGATGATGAAATTTCTAACAGTTTCGGAGTTCTGTTCCGGAAACAAACATCACTCACAATGTTAGCCAATGTCCAGCATGCTTTCATGAAAATTGGAAAATAAAAAAATTGGAAAAATTCCAAAATAGCAAAAGGCACAACTTCACTACTTAAGTGATATAAATGCAAAGTTTGATGAAATATTTAACGGTTTTCGAGTTCTGCTCCGGAAACGATTCAGACAGACGGACGGACATGCCCATAGCTATATCCCCCCGCATTATATGCCGGGGGGTAAAAATCATCTGGCTTGGCTTTGTTTGGAACGGTGATAATGTTAAACATTTTCCACTGATTAAGTATGTGATGTATGTTCAAAGGCAGTTGAAATAATCTACACATCACAAAGCCAAACTGCTGTTTGCACTCCTTTAGTTGTATTTAGTAGTAGTGATTATACTGTAACATAGAAATGTCATCGTTGATAATTTTTCGGAAACAAGTGGTTACAATTCGTCACCTTCTTATCATTGATCCTAATATTTTGTATTAAAATCAGAAGGGAAAGAAGATTCGAAATAATATATATGATAATTCAGAATATTAGTAATTTTCTCTTGGTGTGAGGCGATGACCATTCCTGTGGCGAAACCAACGAAGGATAACGCCGTATACTTCAAATTGCCGCCTTATTGATTTAACAAGCTTCATCTGTAAAGCTATGGAGCGAATGACCAACAGGCTGGGATGAGGAATCCAATAATCTAATAACCGATATTCAGTCTTGTTTCAGGCATCAGAGGATCGTCATTGTTAAATTTGTGTCTTTTGTGCGCAATGGTTTTATCAATAAACACAATCTGGTTTGTTTCATTTAGAGAAGGCATATGATACAACATGGAAGTCAGGCGTCTTAAAGTATCTCGATGATGTGACATTTTTACCTTTGATGAAAAATCTTCTATACCTCATATTAAGAATCTTGAAACTAAATGTTTGAAATCAGTTTATATTCTTAAGATGGTACCAAACAGTAATAGGCACATTTAAATATTTATGCTGTTGCAGAATATACAATATCAGTAATGCCTTCATGGCTATCTATACAATCATATATTTATTTAGAATTGGCATAAGTAAAGAAGTCTGACACTAATCAATTAAAACCCTGGAAGAAAGACACATTGTGCTGACAGTTAAGCTTTTCTTTCAAAGTTTCATCATCAAATTCCTGATCAAGTCGTTTCAGAAATATATTCAAAAACATTCTTTGTTAATATGACAACACCTATATACTATTACATAAAATAGTGTATTTCATATTACATAATGATATGAGCAAATATATAGAGAATCTCACCCGAGTGTCTTTTGATATCAAATATATCAACACGAGTTGATAAAAGTGGAAAAATACCGCGGCTTGCCGAGGATTTTTACCACTTTTATCAACGAGTATTTATTTAGAATTGGCACAAGTAAAGAAGTCTGACACTAATCAATTAAAACCCTGGAAGAAAGACACATTGTGCTGACAGTTAAGCTTTTCTTTCAAAGTTTCATCATCAAATTCCTGATCAAGTCGTTTCAGAAATATATTCAAAAACATTCTTTGTTAATATGACAACACCTATATACTATTACATAAAATAGTGTATTTCATATTACATAATGATATGAGCAAATATATAGAGAATCTCACCCGAGTGTCTTTTGATATCAAATATATCAACACGAGTTGATAAAAGTGGAAAAATTCCGCGGCTTGCCGAGGATTTTTACCATTTTTATCAACGAGTGTTTATATATTTGATATCAAAAGACATTCGGGTGAAATTTTATTTTTCATCCAACATCATTCTTCCAACTTTTTCAGTTTCTAGATAATAATTAGCAGTGTCTTCAGTGTAAAAAGTACTGCTAACAGCTTCAGTAGCAGAGCCATTAGTGATGTCATTTGATTGTGACCAGTGACGACACAGTGGTCTGCAAAGCATTGTGGTGTAATTTCATTGCAGCGATATCTACAGTGTAGATATATCGCTTGATCTCATCCAAGCGATATCTCCTGTGGGAGCCAGTTTTGGATGATAAGAACGTTTTACATATACTTATCGAACTGCATGGGCCAAAATGAATGCGTGAGTTAAATTGTAACATCGCATTGGCATTGTTCAAACAAAAAACATTAAACATTATGTTATCAATTCATTATATTTAAATGAAATCAGGATCTGTCACACATATTTCAGTATGGCCGTAATATTCGTAACTGGTGAAAACATGGTTTATAAGTGATCATAGTATCATACCGCATTTTTAATACAAGCAGGTAGTAATTTAAACACGTGTTAATTATTTATGATACACACCAATTTTCTTGCAGTGTTTCAAGATATGCCTGCTAAAAGATTTGATAAATAGTCTGCTACAGAATGAGAATACCCGCAGCTAAGGAAAATATGTTTGGAAGTGAACCTTTCATCACACACTGACGGGAATAGTAAGTGAAGTTTACTAACTCAAGGCAATAAAACATCCTTGGATATGTTACTCACAAGTTAGTAAATATTTGCTAATTAGACTTGCATATCGTAGAGACCCGTGAAGATTCCGGGGTAAGATAGGTCTTCAGCAACCCATGCTTGCCCTAAGAAGTGACTATGCTTGTCGTAAAAGGCGACTAACGGGATCGAGTGAGCAGGCTCGCTGTCTTGGTTGATGCATGTCATCGATCCCAATTGCGTGGATCGATGTTCATGATATCAATCACTGGATTGTCTGGTCCAGACTCGATTATTTACAGACCGCCGTCATAAAGCTGGAATATTGCTGAGTGCGGCGTTAAACAACAAACCAACAACAACAACAACAACCTATCGTAGATTGGTGCAAGTTAATAATCAGTTTGGTATCCATCTTTCAAAGCATCTTCTCATAAGTTAGTAACTGGAATCGTATAATTATTAAGCTTGTAGTAAGTTTTACTACACTTTAATAAAGGCTCGTTTCTTGGCCATTTTGCGATCCCTGTTGACAGTTGTTTAATACAATTTGCAATAAAAGTTAAATAAGAAATGGCATGAACAATACAGATGGAAGATAACATATAATGATTTTTATTAGCATTTTAAGTATATTTAAAAAATACTACTAAAAAGTAACTGACAGGTAAACAAAACAAACAGATATTGTTTTACACCGGCAAACTTAGAAAACGTCCCTTTTTCATTGTGTACATTCTATAAAGTCACGAAAAAAATGCATTAAAAACGGTTACAAAGCCAATATATACCCTAACACTTTGTCTCATGGCGAGCACCTTGTTGTCTCAGAATGCCGAGCGTAACACCGACATGGCGGAAGTGAGGATTGTCACATAGTCTTGACACCGAAAGTGAAATTGGATACCCCTTCTCTCCACAGCTACCGCGTGCAGTGTAGCAGGTCTTCGCTGTTTATTAACCTTCTGGCCGCTGTTACTAATTAAGTTAGTAGAATTCACTTGACGTTTTTTTTCTCAGTCTAAGGGATACGTTTGGGAGGTTTATCTTCATCAGTTTGTTTTCTTCCAGATATTCGTGTGTGTGCCAATGTCGTTGGATGGCCTTAGCATACCTTGAATCCAAAGTTAATATGACCGATTGTTGGGTTTACTTCATAAATTGTATCGAATCCTACAAGGATGTGTGACATTGTTTGCACATGATCACATGAAACTTTTGATTGTTGGTTTAGAATCACTGCATGGGATTAAAAGTGGAGATATCGGTGTGTCAAGGGATGCTTCAGCTGCAACGGCGACTTTTGCGTTTAGCTGCTATGGCAACAAGACTGGGCACCCAACAAAAAGTCGATATCGTTTTCGCCCGTAGAAAGATCATTATGTGGTACTAAAATCTCAATAATTGAAGGATGTCTCAAGGACATACACTTAAGTGCCTGAAACAAGTCAAAGATGCGTATTTGTCAATATTGATCATAAAAAACGACTAAGTGACGATAAATCTTATTCCCTTATTTCAACAATCCTCGAAAATCTGGTTATCGACATAAATATTATTGAATGGAAACTGTTGACAGTAAATCAATACATCTACGCATTTGTTCCTGTACAATTATTCTGGAACATCCTATTCTACACTTTTCAATGCTATAGCAGGGGACCCACCCGCGATAAAAGAAAACGTAAGTAAGCTAAACTATCGATTCAAATCGCGGTCGTCATTTATATTGTTGCCTGTATACTGGGTCTGATATGTACAATTTGGAATTAAAAAATATTTTGATATTTTCTGTACAACCTTGGAATATTCACATTCTGCTTAAAACTTCCTGTTCAAAAGCAGATGAAAGAGAAGACTTTCACACCCACGGTATGTTTGTTGGTTAGCGCCACACTCAGCAAAATTCCAGCCATTTGACGGCGGTCTGTAAATGATCGAGCCTGAATCAGACAATCGAAAGACTGATATCTAGAGCATCGATCTACGCTATTGGGATACATGCCAATGTATGCCTGACCAACCAATTCTCTTAGTCGCCTCTTAAGACAAGCATGGGTTGCTGAAAACCAATTCTTACCTGGTCATTCGTGGGGCTCGCACACGCATTGAGAATTATCACAAAATACTGGATACTTTATTGGATTATTTTAGTCTCTAATGGAACATATACGGATACTTTGGGTACCCTAAGCTGTTAATATGTTGGCTCGTCACGCCCAAGCCACGCCTACTAATCTCCACAAGGATATATGTGTAAAAAAAGCGACGCGCGCGTTTACGATCTATGTAATAGTAAATGTGATTCACCTTATCAGACAAATATCCCATGTTCTTAGACTAGTCTCGCTCGCATACAGCACAATCTTCATCTACTGCCTCTGCGAATAGCCGAGGTAACACAAGTTACTTTGCCGGTCTTGCAGTAAACCACACACTCACGGACAGGGCGATAATTAAAATTCAACGAGAATGACATTAATGTCAACAATTTCTTTTCAATGTCGCCATAAATACAAGAATTTGCAATAATGAAATTGTCCTATACACATAAGATACATTCAGTTTGGGAAGGAACTAAATCCAAGGTGGTTCATTATGGGTTAAATTCTGGATGGTTATATAATTTCTGGTTGTTTCACTGTGAACATGTCTAACATTAACCCAAATAATCAGCAAGCAATTTGGTTCACTGCTTTTGTACATTGTCAGGGAGAATGTGATTATGATTTCAAATGTCTCTCTCACAAATGTAATATTTGGGCGTATCTCCTGCTTTGACGGTCCATAGAAAGTTATCTTTTGTGTCTGCCACAATAAAGTTCTTCGTAGCAAGATTCTTTGGTTCACTTGAAGACCAAGGTAAGTATGTCATTAGTCGGCCATCATGGAGTAACCAAGTTCCTTCAGTAGCCTTGTCTGATCCATCGATTAGGTATTTTTTGGCCACAGCGTCTGCAGAATAAAAAAACAGTATGTTCAAATAAATGCAAATGTTTGTACATGTACCTTCAATAGAAGCTGAACTATTTAACTCTGTTTGTTTGTTTGTTTGTTTGTTGCTTAACGCCGCACTCAGTAGTATTCCAGCTATTTGACAGCGGTCTGTGAATAATCGAGTCTGGACCAGACAATCCAGTGATTGAAATCATAAGCATCGATCCACGCAATTGGGATCGATGACGTGCATCAACCAAACAACAAACCAACGAACCAACTTCAAGATCTTCTAGCTACAACAGTTGTAGATGCGTTTTATTTGGGGAGCATCTGAGTGCGCAATGTTACATCACTTGTGTTAGAGAACTGTATTATTATTTATTCTTGGGACCCCCACTTTGTAACCAGGGATCCCTACAATTGAAGGCTTTGGAGACCGCTGGTCCCCAAAATGAAAACCCAAGGTAAATCCTGGGTAGAGGTCATGGCAGATAACGCTCAATTGTAGACACAATAGATCATCGGTATGGAGGTATGTACTTAATATTATGAAGAAACAAATCTTAAGAATCAACGTGTGGTAATTACCGAATGTTGTGAAGAAGCAAATTATTAGAATCGAGGTGTGTTAATTATCTAACGTTCTAACAATTTCATTAAGATCAGATCTTAGTTCTCGCTATCGTTGAACAAAGATCTGAGGCCGTCCCATTAAGGGTCACGTGAGAACGACCTTTCATCCAACCAATCAGAGCTTCACTTACCAGATCATGAAAGTGACAGTCGGAATCTGTTTTCTAATCATGCAACCACGAAATATTTAACAGGTGGTTTTCCGAACGTCAGTTACGGGTTTTATGATTATAGCCATACAATCTAGGCCATCTATAAGCCATTCCAGAAAATTCTTCTTATCAGTTTTAATTTTTTTTTATCGAAAATACGTCAAAATATGTTTCGAAGCGTAGTCGCCAGGTGTAGTGTAGTAAAACTCGAGAAAGCTGCCTTCTGATGGGCTAATGTTGATTTCTTGTCGGTCATTTCATTGGTCGGTCAAAATTCGCGAAAGGTCGTCGTTCTGACGTGACCCTTTTTTGGATGTCCTCAGATCTTTGTTTAGCGGTAGCGAAAACTAAGATCTGATTTCATTGAGATTGACGTTCTAAATATAAGTGACAAAACCCTTTCCATTGTCATAAGAAATCTCTGCCCTAAGTAAAGTAGACTCCGACTGTATCATGAGCATGTGTTAATGAATCACTGTACAAAAGTGATCATACCAGGTGTTTGCGAAAAGGTGAGCATATTCCTGCCCCAGTGGCATCCGTGACAAACACGCGCAAAGGCAAGTCAATTTTTCACCTTAACACGGGACAATACAGTACAAGTGAAAATAGGAAAGGCCATCGGACATCATTCTTGTCACTGATGCGTCAAATAGGGAAATGTCCTCATGGTGTGAAATGGAGAAACGATGGGCTGGGGGGCTGCAGGGATATTCGACATAAAGGGAAAATTGACTGTTGGAAAGTTTAAGTCACTCCTGACACACAGTCTTGTGGAAAGTGTTTTGTCGCTCTGAATAGTTATGCATAAATCTAAATATAAAATAGATGAGGCAGTCTCATTGGTTTCCTTTATTTCCAGTCCAGGTGGGTAAATCAGTGGATGGGAATTGGCCATTTGACGGTTTTTGAACGATATCACAACAGTTATATACATAAAACTTCTTGGCCATTTATAATCTGGAAGGTAATTTAAAGTACCGACGTTTACTACAATATCTGAAAAACTATTGGACCTACTCCAGTCAAAGTTGGTATGAGATTGTTAAACAGTCATACATAACTGGATATTACATTTAAAGACAATCGGTGCATGAATAAAAAATCTGTCTATTTAGCTATCACTATAATTCATCAACAACCAGACCTGTTCGTGACGGGTGGAACGAGCACAAATTGTAACATCTATCTGCATAATGCCACCCCTGCGTCAAAGGGCCATATGAAAGATTGCACGGGAATCACGCACGCACGAATACGGTGTTAGCGTTGGGCGTCTCAAACAGTTATTTAATAATATTTATCCAATTATTTTTGCATTCTTTTTCAGGTAGTATTATTGACTTGAATGTAACATTCCTTGCCACATTATTATATTTCATGCATCATGTTTTTAGGTGTAATATATCATACGTAATTATTCATTTAGACAAATCATTGCTTTATGGTTTCGAAGAAAATATTTTAATATTTTCGTAGATGATTCGAGACTTTCGGGGCTGTTTCGGGTGAAAGAGAATCAAATTCTGAGCCAAGAATTGCACAAAGTGGACAAGATCCGATTACGACATGTACTACAAAGCACGAACCTGAAATTCGTAGACGATTCCTAGAAATTCTTTGATAAACAATTTTTTTCTCACGAATCCCACGAACTACAAGAATGTTTGGGAATCAAATAAGATATATTTAAGATTCTTAAGAAATGACTGAGAATATGTACGAATATGTAAGAATTCACATCCGTGGTAGTTCGGGCTATTACATGTCGTAGTGAAACAGGGGTATATGTATTGCACTATTCTTGGTCCCACGAAATGCCCTCGTCGTCAGATTCGGAGTCAATGCTGTCACCTACATGTAAATGAACAACAACAGGTTGGACAGTATCTGGTCAGATACAGTCTTGTTTCCAAAACTCTTCCTCAACTTTGATAGCATCTGTACATCTGTAATTTCTCCCATCCCTTTCAAGACAATCTGCTTGACGTCGGCAAGCTTGAAGGTCTTATTTTGCCGTGCGACCATATTTTTCAAATCATCCCAGATTAGTTCGATGGGATTCAAGTCACAATGGTAAAGAGGAAGTCTAAGTACTTCGTGACCGTGTTCTCTCAACATGTTGTCAATCAAATAAGAGGGCGGGGGTTTGTTCTGAAGAACCAGCTGGTAGTAGTCAGTTTATTGGCTTTCGTGGGCCGAGCAATGCAGTTGTTGTCCAACCACTGACATATCTCACCTTTGGTGGAATTTAAGGTTGGACAACGGTTGATAGGATCTCGACAACTGTGATGGGGAGCAATTTCCATAACCACCAAGGATTTATCAGGCAGTGTTAAGAGGAGCGCCTCCTCAACATTCGCAGTGAAAACCTGACTATTCATCTCGGTATGGTAGTCTCTGCCATCTGTAGATCTGGATCTGAACACTAGATCACACCCAGGGAGGAAACCTCTGTGGGAGCCTGCATGGAGGACAATCAGGTGCTCCCCTTTACCGGGGGGGATCTTGCGCTGTGGCTCTCTGGTATCTGGGTGAGACCATTGGTAAGCCGCTGTGTGGCAGGCGTTAATCCAGGTTTCCTTTTAATAGTGCGCAAATAATTGATACGCAAACGAAAGATATCTTGTCGTTCACACATTGGTGTAGTTTCGACCCTTTCGTCTTTTTGTACTGATATCCAAATTTGGAAAGGAGTTTACAAATGGTCTATTTGGAAATATCTAAGTCATGCTCTGTAAGGAGAATTTGTTTTAGTTTTCGTGTTGAAATAAATTCATTTTCTCTTGTTAACCGCCGAATGTCGTCCCTGACAACTTTCTTATCAAAGGAATCTAACTTTAATTTCCTATCCTGTTTTGAGATGTCCCCTAAGGGATGTGCAGGGGAGCATGTGTTTTTATGAGAGTTCAAAATCTTAACTACGGTTTGTTTGGGAAGCTGTAAAGCATGAATTGTTCTTTTCATGTACTTTTAAATGTCAAAGAAGGGCGAACGTCTTTCACTTTCAGCCTTAAAAAATTAATATATTTTAACAACGAAACCTTTCGCATCAGCGAAAAGATGCTTGCGCTGAGACATCATGAAATCTAATGCTAACACCGTATTCGTGCGTGCGTGATTCCCGTGCAACCTTTCGAGTTAAGATGATTGGTTCAACTGTGTCATATGGCCCTTTGACGCAGGGGTAGCATTATGTAGATGGATGTTACAATGAATGCTCGTTCCACCCGTGACGAACAGGTCTGGTTGTTGATGAAATATAGTGATAGCTTAATAGACAGATTTTTTATTCATGCACCGATTGTCTTTTAATGTTATATCCAGTTATGTATGACTGTTTAATAATCTCATACCAACTTTGACTGGAGTAGGTCTAATAGTTTTCCAGATATTGTAGTAAACGTCGGAACCTTAAATTACCTTCCAGACTATACCTTGTTTTGACTTTGCAAATCGGAGACGATACTCCAATTCGTGTGCACAAAGAAAGAGATCAGCAAGAAAGGGAGCACAGTAAATGCCTACGGGGATACCTACTTCTTGCCCAGATGTCTTATCCCCAAATTTTACGTAGATGTCTTATCCCCACATTTTACGTAGATGTCATCAATGTGGAAGTCCAGCATTTCACCTATTAATTTCTCAGTGAACTTCAAATGGCATTTGCTTCCATTTTTGACAAGTTGACCTAAACGCCTGAAGATAGATACGTAACTGTATCTATGGTCACCACGTTTTGTAGCAACGCCCCATGGATCAACGAATGCATGAAGTCTTCCCTAGAGTTTGTAAATTGGGATAATGGTGTACCGAGTTTTTGAGAATCCACGTGGTATTAATTCCACACGTCTAAGAAAATATGCCGACTTTGGGACCCGGGTTTGAATAGAATATGTCCCGACCATCTCATTGTTGATCGTAAGAGGCGACCGAATGAGACAGTCTGTTTGCCATGGGCCGCGACACTGTGTCGGCAGAGGAAGGGATATTCTAAATATCTTTCATATTTGTCTCAATCTATTACCTTGCGTAGAGCCCAATGCCCAGAAAGCGGTGGCTCGTGGGCCAATCTGACATCCGAAACCGGTGAGTGAGTGAGTTAAAATTAAACGTCGCATCGGCTTTATTTCAGCCATAACGACGAGACAAAGTTGATATGTTTACAATTGAGACATTAATGCAAAGTTATATTTAAAAACAATTTATGAAACATATTTGAACATAACAATATCATGTATACCACCTGAGGCCACCTCAGTGGGGATCATGGGGACTTACAGTACCTCGGCTTCCTGCATGATACCCGTTTAATTTTACGCTACGTTAACCTCCTGGACAGAGCCTTCGATAATGTCAGTTGATAATAGCATCACACCAAATTTAAATACAAGCATTTAATTATTTACACACATATTTAAAACTTATTATACAGACAAATTTCTTTCAAATACCTAATAATGAGATGCCTGCTGACACGGGAAAAGAGATCTTTCACATTTACGCTTTGATAATGTGAATCCCTTGCGATTGCAAAGTCCACACAGTCAAGCAATATATGCTTGACGGTGAATCCTTTCACCACAAGGGATACACTAAGGAGGTTCGTCCTCATCTGTCTTAAGCAGATATTCGTGGGTAACCCGACTGTTGCCAATACATCGTTGTGCAGAGTTGAGTCCCTTGATCACGCAAGAAACCTATGATTGTAGGTTCGAATTCAGCACTAAACCCGTGCTCGTGGGTTTCACCGAAGAGGAAAACGTCTGAGACCTGCATCACTTCGGGCTTTCATCCCACATTAAGCTGACACGCCGCGATATAACTGGAATACTGTGCCCCCCTCTCCGCGGATACCAGGGATACCTTTGGAGATTGCAAATGGGTTCAAATTGATTAGTTCTTCGTTTGAAGCTTTAATAACCAAGAAAAACAAGATATTCGGATCGAGTACGCGTAGTAGTCTCATCAGATTCAATGTGACGTCTTTTTAAACCAGAGTGTTTGGAAGCCATGTCGAAAGGAAAGTAATTCTGCACCCCTTTTCCCCATATTGTCAACAAGGTCAGTCTTATGCTGCAGCGGATCTCCAAGCTGCAAAGTTGGTATGTTGTTTTGTTGTTTAAATAAGCAAATCAACAGAATCGGAGTGTGTTAAATACCTAGTAGGGTATGCAAGCAAATCATGGAAGGTTGTTTCGTTGTTTAACGCCGCACTCAGCAATATTTCAGCTATATGACGGCGCTCTGTAAATTGGTCTTCAGCAACCCATGCTTGCCGTAAAAGGCGACTATGCTTGTCATAAAAGTCGACTAACGGGAACGGGTGGTCAGGCTCGCTAACTTGCTTGATGCATGTCATCGATCCCAATTGAGTGGAGCGATGCTCATGATATCAATCACTCGATTGTCTGGCTTAGACTCGATTATTTACGACCGCTGTCATATAGGAGGAATATTGCTGAGAGTGGCGTTAAACAACAAACAAACAAACATTATATGTTCCACCTTCCTCAACTGTCCATCAATCAGATCTTCAGACTTTGTACGATCAGCTCCCGAATCCCAGCATCATCAGGGGTTATTTAAGCGGTCACAATCCCCGGGGGAAAGGGGGGGGGGGGGGCAACCCGAAATGTCCCTCCTTCGTGGCATAATGCTATAATTTTTCCTATACCAAAGCCTGGACAGAAACATCCAGATCCATCCAATTACCGTCCAATATCATAAACTAGCTGTAAAGCCATGAAGCGCATGGTCAACAATCGATTAATCTGGTCCTGGGAGACCATTGACCTCCTGAGTGACGTCCAGTGTGGATACCAAAAGAACGGAAGTACCACTGACCATTTGGTTGATTTAGAATCATTTCTTTAAATGTCCCTTGTCAACAAGCAAAATACTGTACCAATCTTTTTAGACCAAAAGAAGGCATATGGTACATCAAGGGAACAGGGTATTTTAAAGATTTGCATGAATTTGGAAAGAGTAGCAAAATTATCTCAGTTCATATCTGAATTTTTTAAAAACAGACAATTTCAAGTACGAATCGGCTCTGATCATTTCGATCAAGATCTGGGCGTCCCTCAAGGCAGTTTCGAAATTTGTTCACCACTTGGAATCAGAATTCCACCACACATCACAGCAGCTTAAATGGATCTAAATATATCACCTTACCGTCTTCTCCTCCCTGGCAGATGGTGAAGCCAGAGGTCGACCTTACTCTCATCCAACTCAAAAAGTCCGAAACAAATCCTTTGGTTTATCAACAAGTATATTATCAGCGAGTATATAGTATATAGCCAATTATGGACAAAATACAATTCTACAGACGGATCCAAGGATGGTACCAAAGTTGCAAGTGCCACTATCATTGGATCCAGAACTGTCTCCTCAAGAATCCTAGATAATAGTTTTGGCCTCAGCAGTAAAAAAATAACTCAACAGCTATGACCTATATTAAACAACAAACCCAATCCAAAAACTTCCCCATTTTCTAAGATTCATTGTGTTTCCTTCAGGCACTTAAAAGTGTCTCCTCAAATCATCCAATAATCCTCGACATTTAAAAAAATTTCATGATCTTTCTACTGGCCAATGTGACATCGTCTTTTGCTGGTTTCCAAGTCATGTAGGCATAACAGGTAACTAAAAAGCCGATACTGCAACTAAAACAGCTTTTGACAAACCGTTATCTCAACTACTTATCCCGTACAGTGATTTCAAACCAACCATCAAGATCTCTTGCAGATGAGGTGGGACCCCCATGTAGGAATCAATAAACTTCACGAATTTAAAGCAACTATCGCTCATACCTACTTGGGTCAAGACATGGCAATGTCGTTTTACGACGATGTCGTATCGTCCACAGTCGGGTTACCCACGAATATCTGCTTAAGACAGATAAGGACGAACCTCCTTAAATTAGTGTATCCCTTGTGATGAAAGCTTCACCATGTTCACCGTTAAGCATATATTGCTTGACTGTGTGAACTTTACAATCGCAAAGGATTCACATTATGAAAGCGTAAATCTGAAAGATCTTTCCCGTGTCAGCAGGCATCTCATCTAAAGTTACTTGAAATAAATTGGTCAGCATAATAAATTTGAAATATATATGTGAATAATTTAATGTTTGTTTTTAAATTTGGTAGGATGATTTTGCCAACTGACATTATCGAAGACTGTCCAGGAGTTTAAAGTACCGTAAAATGATTGTCCCCCGGTACAAGTAATTCCTATCATAACCGATGCAAAAACTATCATCAATCCGTTTTAAAAAGCCAACTCTTTGCTGAGTGTATTTTGATATTGGCTAGTACTGTGCACAACCACCAGAGACCGCCTCCGTGGTCTATTGGTAGAGCGTCCGCCCGGAGAGCGGAAGGTCCGGGGTTCGATCCCCGGCCGCGTCATACCAAAAGACGTTAAAAGATGGTACTTGTTGTTACCCTGTCTGGCGCTCGGCATTAAGGGGATAAAACAAGGACTGGTCGGCTCGGAGTCAGTATACTGTGTCTGAGTGGGGTATTCATGTTAAACTGCGGCATGGTATCTCAGTGAGCTAGCACTATAAATCGGCATCAGTCCGGACTAGTACAAGCAGCCACACAAACACACACACGTACATGCACGTCGCTATATAAGTGCAATAATCTTGGACGCGACGTTAAACCCCTTTTCACCTCACCTCACCTCACAACCACCAGAAGCAAAAGTGATGACGTAAATCCTGACTGGGTATCAAGCGTCCCCATGGTCCCCTAGCTTTCGTTACTGATGTCCAATAGCCTGTGTTTTAAACTCTATTAATGATATTGTTATATAAGTCTGATAAAATTTGTTTTCAAATATACATTTGCATTAATGACTCACTTGTGAAAATATCAACTTGGTCTTGTCGCTATGTGGCTGAAATAATGCCGATGCGACGTTAAATTTTAACTCACTCACTCAAAAATTATGAGAATATGAAGCAAATCATCAGAATCGAGATGTGTTGATTACCTAAGGCTGCGAAGAAGCACATTAACAGAATCGGAGTGTGTTAAATACCTAATGTTGTATGAAAGCAAATCATCAGAATCGAGGTGTGTTAATTGCCTAACGTTGTATTAAAGCAAATCACCAGAAGCAAATAATGATTTTGTACGCGAGAAATTAAGAACACATTTCGAAGGCAATGATCAACAAGAGGACAAAGCTATCGATATCCCTCCCAATGATAAATACTTGTGAATAAATATAATCAGGTTGTTGCACTGGAAACTCGAAAACTATCAATGGCACCAGTTTACCACTAGGTCTGTACATGTGCCAACTGTTGTGAGGATATAATATAGGTTTATCAGAACTGCTCGGGAAGAGACCACTACCGGTATTTCCAGCTGAAGTCAGACCCGTGAAGATTCCGGGGTAGACTAGGTCTTCAGCAACCCATGCTTGCCGTAAAAGGCGACTATTCTTGTCGTAAAAGGCGACTAACGGGATCCGGTGGTCAAGCTCCCTGACTTGGATGATGCATGTCATCGATCCCAATTACGTGGATCGATGCTTATGATGTCAATCACTTGATTGCCTGCTCCAGACACGATTATTTACAGACCCCCGCCATATAGCTGGAACATTGTTGAGTGCGGCGTAAAACAAAAACAAATCAAAGCTGTTGCAATGGAAACTCGAAACAGTTTTTTTTTAAATTCCAAAATACCAAATCCATGCGGACAAACCATTGCGGATATGTACAGTGTATATCTGTTACATGCAAGATTGACAAAACGTGTACATGCATCTTGTATGTGCATCTATGGCATTAAGGTTAGAAATGGTGCGTCACAGTTGGCTGTGCAGTGCTGCGTCCACGAGGCGTGTCAGAACCCTGTGGTCGTGTGTTCGAATCCCTGTTCACCCTGGTTATGATTCAGCACCTTAACCATGTGCATGGATTTCACCAAAGTGGTAAACGCCAAAGACTCGCACTAAACTCAGGCCTTCCTGCAACCTCGTGCCGACACGCCTTGATGTAACCGAAATACTGTTCAAAGCCGCGTTAAACCAAACATGCTCATTCGCTCACAGGGAGGCGTGTAGTGAGTCGCGTAATACTGACCTGTTGATGAGTTGACTTGCTTCCATATGTGGTCTTGCTTGGCCTCAGTGTCAATGACAATGAAGTGATCTCCTCTGGAGTTACAATCAGCCACACCACCGACAAAGGTCTTCTCATTTAATTGTAACTGGTAGCAGATGTTAAGCATTCGGTTGTGGACATAGGTCGAGGGACATCCATCTGAAAAGGACAGGACCTCGTGAATACGGGTTCTTTGCACTAAAGCAGCTCTCACACTTTGCCGGGGTGGTTGCCGAGCTTGTCCGAGCCTAACGCCAATAGGAGTCCAATAGGAGTCTATTAAGAGTTGCATTCGAGCACAACGATCTCGATACGAGCTGTACGAGTTTGGTACCTCTTTGATACGAGGTGGCTGCTAAATAATTCGGCGGGAATTACACTCGTACAGCTCGTGTTAGCTTCGGTCAACTCGGAAATAAATTTTGCATACGATCCTCATAACAGTTCTGTACGAGCACAACGAGGTCGCCAAGAGGATACTACGAGTAGGACGTGTGTGTTACGAGTTTACTAGGAGTTGACTGGCGGCCCGACTGTTTTGACCAGTTCCAAAACTCTCGAAGATTAGTACGAGGTATCCCGAGTTACCCCGAGGTTAGTACGACCTCGCTACGAGCTTCATACCAGTACCCTCGAGTCAGCTCGGGTTCATACTCGGGATGCAACTCGGCAAAGTGTGAGAGCCCAAGAATGTCAGTTTGTTTCAGTGAGTGAGCTAGTGAGTATGGTTTTACGCCGCTTTTAGCAATATTTCAGCAATATTACGACGGGGGACACCAGAAATGGGCTTCACACATTGTACCAATGTTAGGAATCGAACCTGGGTCTTCGGCGTGACGAGCGAACGCTTTAATCACTAGGCTACCCGACCGCCCCCTGTTTATTTCAAAACATGTCCTGGGCCAATTCTCTACATCAACTTCGTATGGGTACTATTCGGCAGACACAACGCTAAATATAGTCTTGTTTGTTTGTTGTTTAATGCCGCGCTCAGTAATATACCAGCTATATGGCGGCGTTCTGTAAATAATCGAGTCTGGACCAGGCGATCCACTGATGTCATTAGCATGGATCTACGCAATTGGGATCGATGACACGCATCAACCAAGTCAGCGCGCCTGACCACCCGAAGTTAGTCGCCTCTTACGACAAGCATAGTCGCCTTTTACGGCAAGAATGACCGTATTTGGGGGAGAAGCATTTCTATGTAAAGTTTCTGATACGAGAAATGGAGATGGTACCTTGACTACAATGGTAGCGTCAATATTTGTTGAGTGTCACCATAAAATCATTAAATATCCTCACCTGCAGCAACACTGTAGTACGCTGTACCCATCTCTTGTTCTCCGTCCTGGGGCGACAGGAACAACACGTCATGAAGCTGACACCGTCGGTGTTGCCTTCTGTAGAACGCAGACACGCAAGCAATGTTCTGGAGACACTGAGTCACACAATTAAATTTGTTTCCAATGTCTTGAACTTCTGATATTATGTTGGTTCTTACGATGACATTTGCGAAGTTTATCCATTTGGTTCCATAAGCAGTTTGAATAACAGGCGATGCGTAGTGGACTACAGACGTAAGAATGAGTATAAATAACATGATTTTCGAACTAAGTCCAAGTAGCAACTGTGTATATGTCACTGCCTGAAGCATCGCAAACGTCAGTGGTTTAAAGAGGCCTCTATGAGTTGACGACCATGTAAGCATCGATTAAATCTGTCGTGTTGATCATGGGTTTAGTATTTATATCCATTGGCAACCAACCGGTTCATGATGAATATGGAATACGCCAATGAGAACGATAATAATATCTTGTCTTATAGATACGTAAATTAATCGATTGTTCGAGTTCGAGTAGCCGCTGTACCACGTGACCTATTTTGGAGCGCTGGCCATCGAGTCCAGAGTTCACATCCTTGAAGGAGGATTAAACCTGCTTGAATTAATACTGAGTGTATTGGAATGTTTGGTAACCTGGTGTTTAACGTTCACTGGTCGTGCAAAATTGTTCGATTCTCAACTTAGGAACATTGTGTCCTCCGTCTTGATATTGCTTGAAGCGACGTATGCGACAGTCCTTAGTGATGCAGAAAAATCAAAAGCTACCCGCAAAATAGACGTTGGGGGTAATTAAAATATGAGCAATGTTCAAAGCACAGCAAGAAAATTCGAAACAGACCCTTCTTCAGGTCGTAAGCGACGCTTTGCTCTGCCTCCATATTAAAGTCCGCCTTGGTCTTTAAAAAGTTGTCTTGATGAATGGGATAGAATTTAGCGGGGGAAAGTAGAAAACAGTAGAAAAACATCTAGTTGATTTCCCGACTTTGGCGACACATCAGAAAAGAAATAATTTGACTCGTTTGTGTTTTCCTATTCATAACACTCATTAACATCATAAATTATGAGTCAAATAATTTGCGGTTATTCAAAGGTAAATGGTTTGGAAAACGGGTGTAGGAATATGTCCATTTTATATCCGTACTTTGACTGCAATTTTATGCTTGTAAGACGGATGGAAAACTGGCATCGGAATTGGACATCAGACTTGGACATCGGACTTGGATATCGGACTTGGACATCGGACTTGGATATCGGACTTGGACATCGGACTTGGACATCGGACTTGGACATCGGACTTGGACATCAGACTTGGACATCAGACTTGGACATCGGACTTGGACATCGGACTTGGACATCAGACTTGGATATCAGACTTGGACATCGGACTTGGACATCGGACTTGGACATCAGACTTGGACATCGGACTTGGACATCGGACTTGGACATCAGACTTGGACATCGGACTTGGACATCAGACTTGGATATCAGACTTGGACATCAGACTTGGACATCGGACTTGGATATCAGACTTGGACATCAGACTTGGACATCGGACTTGGACATCAGACTTGGACATCGGACTTGGGCATCAGACTTGGACATCGGACTTGGATATTGGACTTGGGCATCGGACTTGGACATCAGACTTGGACATCGGACTTGGATATCGGACTTGGACATCAGGCTTGGGCATCGGATTTGGATATCGGATTTGGACATCGGACTTGGATATCGGACTTGGGCATCGGACTTGGATATCGGACTTGGGCATCGGACTTGGACATCGGACTTGGACATCGGACTTGGATATCAGACTTGGACATCGGACTTGGACATCGGACTTGGACATCAGACTTGGACATCGGACTTGGATATCGGACTTGGGCATCGGACTTGGATATCGGATTTGGACATCGGACTTGGATATCGGACTTGGGCATCGGACTTGGATATCGGACTTGGGCATCGGACTTGGGCATCAGACTTGGGCATCACACTTGGATATCGGACTTGGGCATCGGACTTGGATATCGGACTTGGGCATCGGACTTGGATATCGGACTTGGGCATCGGACTTGGGCATCAGACTTGGGCATCACACTTGGATATCGGATTTGGACATCGGACTTGGATATCGGACTTGGACATCGGACTTGGATATCGGACTTGGGCATCGGACTTGGACATCGGACTTGGGCATCAGACTTGGACATCGGACTTGGACATCGGACTTGGGCATCGGACTTGGACATCAGATTTGGACATCAGACTTGGACATCGGACTTGGACATCGGTGACTCAAGAAATGATTCGTATCTATGTACAAGACACCAGTAGATGTACAGTGTCAGCGAAGCACAGCAAACCGAGGAAGTCATAGTTGGGATATTGCTATGTATAGCCCTCATAGTATGTTAGGCCATGATCAGTCTTCCGATATTGGAATGCAAACAAAACAAGAAACGCGACACGGAAATATAAAAGTGTGGTTCAATATCTGAACGCATTCACATCTGAACATAAGAAAGAGCTAACATGATTTTGACATTGCTGTTATAACGCGAACGCTAGGGATCGATATGCTCCGTTCCGCTCGCGGTTTCATTTTTTTTATTTTGGCAAATGATTATATCAAAGAGGAGAACCGCGACACGCAATAACATCGTATAGGCATTACTACGCATTAGGATTATTGATGAACTGTGACTTGATTTATATTTGATAGTCAGGGAATATCGTATTCCAGTCAGCTTAGGATTCGTCCATACAGACCACTCACCAACGTGTTCAATAACGCCAATTCTGTACATCGAAACTCTTTCGGGCAAATCTAGTTCCTTGTTTGAAATGGACCCGTGAAGATCAGGGGTACAATAGGCCTTCAGCAAACAATGCTTGCCGTAAAAGGCGACCACCGTGATCAGGTGGTCAGGCTCGCTGACTTGGTTGAAACATGTCATCGATCCTAATTGCGTGGATCGATGCTCATGATGTCCATGACTGGATTGTCTGGCCCACACTCGATTATTTACCGACTGCCGTCATATAGCTGAGTGCGGCGTAAAACAACAAACCAACCAACCTTGTTTGAAATAAACCTCGCACAACAGTCCAATGATGATTGTATCATAAGATGAAAACCACACACAACATGAAGTGAAAAAATAGCGTTATTGTTTTTTTAAATAATGATTAGCAAACGATAATTCAAAGATTTCAAATTTTAAAAACATGGATATATATTGTATAACATCATGTAGTTTCAAATCAGTTTATTAGTTTCATGAAGTTGATTAAAACAGTCTGTCCAATAGAATGAAATGAACCATGACCACTACTAAGTGTTAAACCATGTATTCCTCTACATACGTAAACTCTACGGTTCGTTGAGGTCTCCAGATCTAAGACGGTGTTCGATTGCTTTGTAAATACTATTTAATGTTAGAATACTCCTGTGGAGATTTGGGGTCAGAATAGGGCTACAAAGATTCATCGACTGCAATTACTTGACTGATTGATTGACTCACCCACTTACTTTTGTAGAGATTTCAATATTTGCTCATGGCACATCGCCTGATGGACTGTGAATTGATCAGGCATGGTTGGAGACCAGTCAGTCGAACGCAAAATCTTACTGTGTCTACTCAGGCATACCTGTTGCCGTCAACGATGACACCTGCGTGTATTCTTGGCAGCCATATTGAAAAACCTATTTGTAACAGTACTCGACTATTTGTATTTAACAAAAATAATAAAATACGCCATAATGCATGGTAGGTGTACTCTTACCGAGGGTGGAGCACGGATGGCTCAGTCGTTTAAGGCGCGACTCGCTATGCAGAGTTGCGTCCATGGGCTATGATTGTGGGTTCGAATCCAGGTTCGCCCCGATTATGTTTCTAGGTTTGTCAGCACCATACCCCTGCTCGTTGGTTTCGCCGAAGCGGTAAACTTCCGAAACCTGCATCACTTCGGGATTCCCTCCCACATTAAACTGACCCGCCTCGATATAACTGGAATAATGTTAAAAGCGGCTTTAAACCTAACTCACTCACTCTCACCGAGTGTGTAGTTCAAGACACAGCATTCGACACTGCATTGTCCTTTAGTTGATGGGCGGCGCGTTTTATCTCACCTCTAATTATAAGAAAATTCTCGCATAGCTTATCATTAACCTTCAATGACTGTGCTACAAATAATAACAATTCAGGACGTAGCCATCATCTAAACCATCTACTTCCCTATCATATATTATTTAGTGTCTGGTATGATTCTGCTATTGACCTTTTTCTTCACGTATGTCCACGCCATCAAAGTATCCAACAAACACGACCCTGTTTATAGTTTCACTGCAGTGAAAACTGGATAATGAGATTCCGGTGAACAAATATTGATGAAAGCCACGTCATGTGTGACTTCCTGTGTGTACTTAGTTCCGTGTTAATAGTTTATGATCGAGGAAAGAATCAACAGGGGGAAATCTTTGAAGATATTCTCAGTCTGCCATAGACGTATCAACAGGCAATGGACGAACACTTCCTTATTGACACTATTTGGGCGTTTCAGCAGGTGTTAGAAGAATTATACTGACAACATTTGGTACAAAGTCAAACAAAAATGCACTTCTCAGCTCTATATAGATGAGGTGAAATGGGGTTTTAAGTCGTTTTCAAGATTGTTGCACCTACACAGCGACGTCCAGGTGCGTGCGTGCGTTCTGCTTGCTCTAGTCCGGACTAATGCCGAGTTTATAGTGCTACCCAACTATACTGACTCCGAGGCGACCAGTCCTTGTTTTAGCCCCTTTATGCCGAACGCCATCTATCAACGTCCTTTGATAAGACGCGGCCGCGGATCGAACCCTGGACCTTCCGTTTACCAATGTATGGATCTTAAATGCATGTAGATACTGCTGTACCGGTGGTCTAGAGTTTAAGTCTTAACATTATACATGATTCTCAAACTTTGTAGATTGATGTTTTCCTTGTATTCTGCACACGCGCCGATTTCAATGGTGTATCAATGACCATTGTATACAGTATTTCAAGCAACCCATGCTTGCCGTAAGAGGCGACTATTCTTGTCGTTGAGGCGACTAATGGGATCGGGTGATCAGGCTCGCTGACTTGGTTGAAGCATGTCATCGTATCAGACTGCTGTCATGCATGTGGCATTTTGCTGAGTGCGGCGTTAAACAACAAAGAAAAAAGCAGTATTAATAATATGGCACTTTTCGTGCATATATTTGTTTTATACCGGATTTGGGCAGGAGGCCTTTGCAAATTAATGAAAGAATGAAAGTATAGTATGAGAGGTAACATTATTAAG